GTAAAAGTTTGTCCGAATTGATATACCCAAGCCCTCTAATATGCAAAGGTGAAAAAAATTTAGTACAATAGTACAAAGGAGATGCATTGAGCTAAACTAAAGGATACATGATAATAAGTTACCAAGTTGCACTGTTTAGCATCGTGACAAGTTTTTCTGGTCTCAGTAATCTTCCCTTGACAACAATTACATGTTGTGCAATCACCGCAGTTGAAAATGTCACCGTTCTGTAAAAATGAGACAGTAAATATAAGTATACTATCTGGTACAGGTACTTTCTGTTCTCAGAACCAGGTTGATACCTGAACACTTAACAAATAAACAAATACACACAAACACTATCTCTCTCTATTTCTGTCTCTCTCTCATTCTCTCTCTCTCTCTCTCTCTCTCTCTCTCTCTCTCTCTCTCTCTCTCTCTCTCTCTCTCTGTCTCTCTCGCTCTCTCTCTTTCTTTCACTCTCTTTCATACACACACACAAACACAAAAGCACGCACCCACGCAACCACCCGTCCACTGCCCCCCCCCCCTCACACACATACACACACATAATATATACACAACTAACAAAGATCAGCGTTTGCCATCCATAATCTCTTCCGCCCCCACCCCACCCCACCCCACATTATGTAAAGAAATAATAGAAAAACCCAGGAAAAAACATGTAAAAATAAAATTTTAAAAGTAAGAATGTTTCTAAAAATATAGCTTAGGTGTTCACTGTTAAAGCTAAAACATACTTAGGAAAACAATAACAACCGCAACACCAACACCAGTTACTACTACTACTACTACTACTACTACAACTACAACAACAACTACTACTACTACTACTACTACTACTACTACTACTACTACTACTACTACTACAACAACAACAACAACAGCAACAACAACAAATTAATTAACCAACCAAACAAGAACACCAACTCTAATGAGCTTCCACGTAAAAAAACAAAAAAACAAACAAACACATAGCTCGAACTCCCCAAAAGTCTCCAACAACCCTAACCCAACCTGGTAGAGCGTCCCGTTGAACTGACAGCCTCCACACTGACCCTCCAGCACACAATGTGAGCCGTTGTAGACACGGCCGGGCGGACACACACAACTGCCGGACACTTTGAGGTCACAGCCAGGAAGGGGGCGTGGCTCGGTGCACGTTCTCTGACACTCGCTGTGATTGGTCCACTGGAACCCTGGGCCGCACTCTGTCAACAGGTTTTTTTTTTTTTGTAAGTGTTTTACGGCGTTCGCAACTGCATACGGTCATATGAGCGCGCGGTACACACCTAACATTTTCATTTGGTAGGAAATTTTAAATTTTGCCCGGGTGGTAACCAAAGCTTTCTCTTATCGGTTTTAGACCACCAAGGGATCTTTAACGTGCGCAAACTGCACACGGGCCCTCCGAGATTTTCGCCATTGTCTGAGAAGGCTAGGTGTAGATCTTTCCTATCAGAAGACCAGGGGTGTGGCTGAAAGACAGCAGTAAAAAGGAGCCAAGGAGTAACAGTACAAAGGCTACAGAAAGAGTCAGGAGCTCAGAGGAGGGGGTAAAGGAGGTGAGGGGGTGGGGGACAGAAAGAGGAGACGAAAGCAGACGACAAAACACTGCTAGAGAGAAGGAAAGGAAGTGAAAGGAGACAATTTTAGGGAAGAAAATGTTTCAGTCTCTACCCTTTTCGAACCCCGGACCTTTGAAGGCCAACACCTTAACCTCAAGGCCACTAGAGCCCCCGTCAACAGTTTGAGTTTATTTAACTCTCGAAGAGAGTGGCGTCGGTAGTCTGGTGGTTAGGCTACCGGACCCGTAATCGTGAGATTGTGGGTTCCGGGATTCGAGTGTCAGCTCGATCCGACGTTGTGCTTGGGAAAGGCACTTTATATGGATTTCCCATTGCTCGGTCCTTTCGAAAATGGGCGTTAAACTCGGAGGTCTCGCCCCCTGAATACATTATTGTGTTGATTGGGGCATTAAACCTATACCACGTCACCATTGTTTCTTAAAGGGAAGGTGCTACTGAGATTTTTATCTCTTTAAATTCTCCAAATACAGAATGTTTTGAGCTACCACTTTTTTCATATATTCGTGGGAAATTCAGATTGGAATTGAATTATTAAGTCGCCATTCATCGATAACTGAAAGATACGTCAGTTCTGTTTTAGTACCTTATTCTATGTAGGCAGCTGTATCGGACAAAGAGGCTAATTTCAAGGGAGGGGGCGGTATAAAAATGCTTCCAAAATGGAGGGCTCAAGCTGACTTTTATCCATTTTAAACTAATTCATTTTTCTGTCATTTTCATTATTATAGTTCCATAATTCAAAACTAAGAGACTAAAGCTTTAACCCTCCCCCTCACCAAACATATTCTTAAACAAGAAATGGTCTAATATTATCACATATAATATTAATTTGAGGGGGCCTTAAAATTAAAAAGTCGAAAGACAAGAGAAAAAAATGTGCGTTGTAGTTGTACAATAAGTCGTACCACAAGCTCCCAGAAAACACTGGTCCTTCAGAACATCAGGCACCCCGTGTGTGGCGCAGTCACGTGACACATTACGCTGCCTGGACCTGAATCCCCAGCCACAGGACAGGAAGCGGCTGTGTGTGCACGCTGACCAGCTTGACCACTCAGATTGTTGTTCTGTTTCTGGGCCTAAGTGGTAGACAAGATTTTTTTCAAAAATGTATGCGATGGTGATATTGATTAACTGAAGTTGTGGGAAGATCTATCCCTCTTATTAACTAAAAAAAAAGGGAGGGAGAAAGAGAAGGAGAGAGAGAGAGAGAGAGAGAGAGAGAGAGAGAGAGAGAGAGAGAGAGAGAGAGAGAGAGAGGTAGAGAGAGAGGGGACAGATAAAGATAGAAAGAGAAAAAGAGAGAGATAGTGAGAGACAGAAAGAGAGAGAGACAGAGAAGAGAGAGAGAGAGAGAGAGAGAGAGAGAGAGAGAGAAAAAAAGAGAGAGAGAGAGAGAGAGAGAGAGAGAGAGAGATAGAGAAACGGGAGAGAAAAAGGTAGACAATCAATACGTAAATAAGTCGTTAACACGTCATAGGACAATCTCCTTGCGTTGGGTAACAAAATACTATCAACGGGCTGGTGTCTGTTTCCAAAGTTAACGCTTATTCCTAGAATACAAAAGCAAATATGAGTTTGATGTGTCTGTCGAGAGGGCACAGACATTTTACAAAATACAAAAACAAAAATGAATTTGATGGGTCTCCTGAATGAACATTCAAAGTTTTACAAAATACAAAAAACAAAAATGATTTTGATGCGTCTAAGAGAAGGATATTCAAAGTTTCACACCAAAGAAAAACAACCCAACTCACAATCACAGTCGCCACATTTCTGGGCCTCAGCCTGGGGTCCACACTCCACGCTAGTCCTGTTGTCTGAGTACAGTTTGTGTCTGCTCCTGACGCCTGGCACGTCCCCACAGCTTTGGCTACACGAACTCCACTCGCTCCACACGAATACATCACAACCTGGAGGAAGGAGGCTTAAGTTAGAATTACCGCCGAACTCGCTTTAAAGGGCACGAACTGTCCAAGACAATGACAAAGATAAACAACCACTTCCCACATCCCTCGTTGCGTCAATTTTGTTTGTTTGTTTGGGGGTGGGGATTGTGTTATTTGGGGGGGGGGGGGGGTTGACAGCATAATGACACTGTCCAAATTGTCCACCTTTCTTAACACAAGCACTTTTTCTCCTCGTCTGCATCTACTGCTACTACTACTACTACTACTACTACTACTACTACTACTACTACTACTACTACTACTACTACTACTACTACTACTACTACTACTACTACTACTACTACTACTACTACTACTACTACTACTACTACTACAAAATTGCATTTACATAATGTTAGTCCATTTGCTACACCTTGCTCTTATTTTGTGTTGCACGCATAATAATAATATTATGCTGTACATGTATGGTATCGTGGCTACGTTTGGGCAAAGAAAACAATGACATACTTTCGTGGCTGTGTTTAACTACTTTGACCTTCTTCTTCTTCTTCTTCTTCTTCTTCTTCTTCTTCTTCTTCTTCTTCTTCTTTTTCTTCTTCTTCTTCTTCTTCTTCTTCTTCTTCTTCTTTTTCTTCTTTTTCTTCTTCTTCTTCTTCTTCTTCTCCGTTTTCTTTTTCTTCTTTTTCTTCACTTTTCCTGTAGTTGGAAGTTGCTTCTCAGACTTTTCTGCAACAAAACACGGTCTTTTATCATTTTGACTGACACAGTAGCCTTGTCTGACACGTGTACACACACAGTGACATACATGGGCCTAGTCCACACAGCTCTTCCTCCACCGCCTCTCCCTCACACGGCTGCCCCCCGCACACTGGAGGCTTGCAATGACGACATCTCTGTGACGTCATCTCACGACACTGACCGTCACACTGGCTCCAGGAGCTCCATTCTGACCACTGCCCGTCCACTGTAGGCAACAGTAAAGTTGAGAACTCTGACAAGTGATCAGTTTTACTGCAAGACGGATGTTTGATTAAGCTAAAACAAGAGAGAATGAGTGAGACCTGACAAAAGATGGAAGAGGGCATAGAAACCGCCTTGGAACAAAAGCAACATGTCCGTGCAGGCAGCATGTTTTATTGCAGGAAGAAGAGAAATACCCTCTAACCCAGAGTCTTTGGCAAGATTATAAAAAACCAAGCTGCTGCCGTTTCAAAGGAGTTTTGCCAGTCTCAAATTCAGTTCTAATTCGTCTTGATTGGTCAGTAGGCCCCTACACAAAGTTAACAAATGTATACTCTGAGAGATTTAATGTTAACCATCTCGTGCATTCAAAGAAGAACATCAATGATGTCGCCTTTGAGAAAGAGTATGAGATTTATCCATAGACGTGTATAATACTACCCGACACAACGCATTTTTTCAGTTTTCTAACGATCACACGATTTGAAAAAAGAAATGTAGAATCTACTGAACGGCATGGAGGGAAAGGCTACGCGCGCACTCGACTAAAGCGAGACTAGAATTTTCCCCTTTACAATTATTTTTTCTGGCCCACCAGCGTATTGACGTTTTTATAGACGGCAAAGAGTGGCGGCCATAACAGGTGTCACGTCTTGGATGTTATAATAAGGATATTATATATAATTGAAGTCTATACATGCTTTTACTTTGTAAACTGCAATCCCTTTCTCAACACCCTGGAAACAAACATCTCAACAGTAAAGAAAATGTCCAACTTATGAACAAAATCAATTGATCTAGAAAAATGAAAGGCAAAATAAAATTGATGATGAATTTTCAAGACAATGAAAAAAGCCAAGACATAGACGCAACACAAAATAATGCTCCTGCTTACCAGCACTGAGTGGATCATAAGCACAGTCAAGACTTCCATTCTTGCACTCACTGCAATTAAAAAATAAACCCAGTGTTTGGATCCTTTCTAAACCATATTAAAACTATACAATTTTTAAAACATAGAACATAAAAACATACAAAGAAGCCACTTGACAAAAGATAAATAATCAATACATACACAGTCGAAATTTGCTTTAACAGACACCTATCCAAGATAGTCATTAGTCATTAATTGTACAAACGACCATTTGCGATTTCTCTTGAATTTTTTATAACCATGATGACACCTTCTGAGACGACCAGCCTGGTTAAATGACCGCTTTTTTCCTTCGGCATAGGGTGGCCGTCTTTGACAGATTCGATTGTATATTATTATGATTACTATTATTATTGTTATTATTATTATTATTATTATTATTATTATTATTATTATTATTATTATTATTATTATTATTATTGTTGTTATTATTATTATTATTATTATTATTATTATTATTATTATTATTATCATTATTATTAATATTATTATAATTATTATTTTTATCATTGTAGTTATTATTATTATTATTATCATTATTATTATTATTATTAATGTATTTTTTTACTGTTATTATAATACTTATTATTTTATTTACCCAGTATTCAAACGCACTCCACATCACATAATAGTTTCCTTAATATCATTCCAATATTCGTCCATAGCTAGTGATTTACAAAATATGACTTCATTTAAACAATAAATGAGTGGTTTATATGATGTGGAGTGGGCCAATGGCCTTAAACAATAAACAAACTAACTGACTGATTTACCAGATGCGACACAGCTCAGGTTTGACAGTTCCTCCCTCAACCAACAAGTCTCCGGCTGGGGTAAGGCAGAAACAGTCCTCGCTCACACACTCCTTTGTGTCCGTCATACTGCTGGTGCATCCGTTATAATGGCCTGACCTGGAGGAAAGTTCGTAAATATATATATATATATATTTATATATATATAACTGCGTACATGTGAATGGTTGTTTTCTATAGCTGAAAAAAACACGGAACGTAAAACAATGAAAACATTACTGAAGGTAGTTAAAAGACCATGCTGGAGTCAAAGAAGGAGGAATGGGTGTATAAATCACCTTCAGTTGTCTTTAACTCCATAAAACCTTGTGAATCCTTTTAATAAAAAGAAACACACATTAATTAATTAGCATGCTATGAAGTAATCTGAGGGAGGAATGAATAGCTTTTCCCTCATCCATAAAGAAAAATCTAAGGCTGGTCCCTACTCAGTTCAATAAATGTGATTACCAGTGTGCAATGGGTACAAGGAGGTTATACATTATAATACTAGAGCTCTCAGCAGCGACGTCACACCTGTCAGACATGGAGGTATTTCACCATTATTGGCATGGCCGGCATAACCCTTTAATATGAACAATCTGAGTCCCCATCCTGCTCCCCATGACCTCTAGCATATTATATAACAAAAACAATACTCAGACCACATATTTCTGTGCAAGTTTGTAGATTTCCTCTTAAAACCGTCGGGACGCCTCCACGTGAGTCTTTTAAAGTACTCACTCGTCTGCTGAACTGAGCATGTCTTGCTCTTGAGGTTCAGTGTCCCATTGTGGACACACACGCCCCGTTTGTTTACCTGAAGGACACCACAGCCACGAACTGCAGTACTAAACACAAAATCTCTTTGAATGGGTACTAGCTCACCGATGTCTTGTAGATGTTCCCTTTCCACAATGCGCTGAACAGGCAGACCAAGACGACCAAGAACCCCACGTGAAGAGAAGGTCGAACTCTGGAGAAGAAAGAAGGACGAGATTGTATTAAATTCCAGAGGGAAATGAATTCACCACTCTCGAAAAATTAATTGTACTCTTGTTAGTTGATATTACTACATGACAAGCTAAACGCTGCGGCAACAAACGTCACGAACATTTTCGTAAAGTGTATTTATAAGAATTCAGCATCCCTGAAAGATAGATTTTACTTTAACTGGGTGAGAATTGAAAAATATTCAAGGGAGAGCAAAAAAAAAGTCTTTTTTCAATCCCAAAATGATATTATTTCTAAACGGATAATTCTGTGTAAATCATGAAAGGTGATATTAAAAATCATTATTAACAACCCGATGCAAAAGCAGACATTAATGATTCTTTTTCTGATGGTTTGCTGAAACAATTCTAAATCAACAAATTTACTGAAGGAGTATGAAGTTGAAGGAAAGCGTAGGGATTTTTTGTTGTTGCTGCAAAATACAGTGATAGAATACTTTTAGGTAAAGCTGAACCATTACAACAATCACCAGTAGCGGTAATTAAGTTTTTTTTTCTTTAAAAAAAATCATTATGCCTCTAGCATAATGATAGCAAATACAGATCTAGCAGCACACAAAGAATAGTGATTATTATAGTTTCGGTGTGCAATGACGAAGCGCCTAATCGTTAGACCACAGACACCGGTCCAAAAATGATTTTATACCAGTCACAGCAATTATACTCATCCCTTGCAGAGACTCACCGCCATCGTTGTCTTTGCAAACGGGTCCGCTTTCTTGGCAAGAGCTTAGCGCAGGGTAATGAAAGAAAAAAGCAAAGGCAGATTAGAAATGCTGCCATTGCAAATACAAATGAAGAAGCAAGCCATCACCCCAAGCTACAAATGTATATTGAATATGCCATACTTAAAGGATGAAGCTGGCACAATATTGTGTCCAATCAGCAGGAGGCCAAAGGCAATGATGCGGCTCATGATTTCGCACCATCATAAAAATTATGCAAATCAGAAAACGAGTAATGCATTAATTTCGTAATGAGGATATCCGTTTCTTTATGCTTCCCGGGAAGGCCAAAATGTTTCTGAGAGTTATAGGGTCTGCTCGGGTAAAAATATAGTGTAAAGAGCATAGAGTTTGCTGTCAAGCGGGGGAATTCGCTATACATAATGTGCTATTTATTTATTTATTTATTTATTTATTTTTGTCACGACGAGGTGGAATCAAGCGCTCGTCAATTTTTTGACATGCAGAGTTATTTGTATCATTTTAAAGGTTGTTCATTTGTCTTGCTTTTGATGGAAAAAATAGTCATATAATATGGTGAATAGAAGTCGAGATATTTGCAATTGAAGGAGGTGGAGGTCTCCGGGTTTCAGAGGTTAAATTTAGCGAGAAAATTGCAGCCAAAGTTTGCCAACTTCCAGAACTTGAGAGTCCTAAGAAACCTGACAATTTACTATTTTGTGTCTTAAATCAACGGTTCTTCTTGTAAAATCTACACATAAATGTGTTTTTAAATGGACCTTAAAGATGTTGAGTAAAAAAAAAAAAAATCGATAACAATTGGTTGCTTTTAAGGACAAGCGGGCTAACCCAGATTTCGGAGGTTTTCAAAAATCTTGATCTTCACCAAAAGTAGGCATTGCCCTACCTATAGGAGAAGTTTGGTTTCATTGGTGGGTATATTTGTTTGGTTATAGAGAAAACTCTCCTTGTCTTTTAAAGGAACTGAACATGGGGAAAAAACTTTACCTTCTATTTTCTCAAAACAGCATTTTTCGGGATTGCCTCCTTGTGCTTAAAAGCGACCAATTGCCAATCGGACAGAAAAGTGCAAGTGTCTTCGATTTCATTATTTTACGAGCGCCTGATTTCACCACGATGCCTCACATTTCGTGGTAAGGATATTGCTTTCTTTATGTTTCCCGGGAAGGCGAACATGTTTCTTAGTGTTAAAGGAAGCGCATAGAGATAGCTGTCGGTAGGGATTATTATTATTATTATTATTATTATTATTAATATTATTATTATTATTATTATTATTATTGTTGTTATTATTATTATTATTTTCATAAGTTCATTTCTTTCATTGAAATAATCGAAAAGTACTGTCTCTCAGGGGGGAAAATGAGGAGGACTTGGGGAGGAGAGGGGGGGGGGGTGTTGCATTTAAAACATGTTACAACCTTGGAACTTTTGCACTTGAAATGTTACTCGTTTCTGCTTTTATTCACGTTTAAAAAGGCAATGTTTTTATTTAAAAGCACTATGTCCAGTTTGGGAAATTTTTTGCTCATATTTGTAATTGCCTATCACATTCGACCTTCCTTTATTAAGTTTCCCCAAAGTATGCCACATTTGAGCTTGCTATGTTCACATTTGAGGGTGTAACACTATAATGACTTGAGGTCCACAGCGTCCAGTTTTTTGTGTAGTCCGTATTTCTAATAGCATCATACAAATAATTATTAGGAGTGGCTATGGCTTATATACACCCATGTGGTTGCTTTTGGGTTTAAAAAATAACAGGTTCCATTGCATATTAATGACCACGAACAAAAGGACAAAAAGAAAAGAAAAACAAGAATTGATTTCTTTTCTCGGGGAAAGGGGGGGGGGGATCAGACATGTATAAGAAAAAAAGCCCTGAAACTGAAAGAAAGCAGTTACTTTTATACCTACCATATTTTACATGTACCGACATCCATGTACGTCGAGTTAAACGGCCTCTGGAGACCCCCAGAGTCGTAGCATGGACAGAGCTTGGGTTCTGAGCAAAACCCGTCATCATCCATGTACTGTGCCGAGGGACAGTGGCAGCCTGTGAATAAATCAGTGAACAGTAATGGTAACAACAAAAACAATAAGTATAATAATAATAATATTATTAATACAATAATAATAATAATAATAATAATAATAATAATGATAATAACAATATGATAAAACATTAGTATTATCATTATTAATTATTATATTATAATTACAACTATTACTATCGTTATTATTGTTATTATTATATTATTATTATTATTATTATTATTATTATTATTATTATTATTATTATTATTAATATTATTATTATTATTATTATTATCATCATCATTTTTATTGTTACCATTATCGTTATATATTATATTATTTTTATTCATTACTTGCAGTATTATTATTATCATTATTATAATTGTTATTAACACACACACACACAAATACATACATATAATGATAAGTCTAACAAGGAATTGCCCTGGACCAAGGAGCTTCAAATCCAATTCTACACAGGAACGAATATTTTGTTCAAATACAGCCTACCTAGCTGTCATTTTTATAAACGTTTCTTTATTGCAGTTTCTAATATGTGGTATCAGTTGCATAAGCTCTAGCAATATTTAATCCAAATTCAAGCAAAAACTGTTAAATTATAAAAGCTTGGAACATATTTTTTTTTAAAGTTCTTTTCCTCTCCCTGACCACAAAAAACAAATAAAATTGATTTGACGTCTTAGAACAGTTGAGCAGTTCGAAAACGACATACTGATCTCTCTTGGGAGCTCGCGTGGCCTAGAGATTAAGGTATTGGCCTCTCATTCAAAGATCCCGCATTCGAATCCGGGAAGCGACAGGAAAATCATTCTTCTCTTATTGTCTCCTTTCATCTCCTTCCCTGCTCTCTAGCAATGTTCTGCCGTCTGCTTTCGTCTCCTCTTTCTGCCCCCACCTCCTCACCTCCTTTGCCCCTCCTCTGGGCTTCTGACTCTTTCTACAGCCTTTCTACTGCTACTTCTTGGCTCCTGCGTGCTGCTCTCTTTCAGCCACACCCCTGATTTTCTGGTAGGAAAGATCTTCACCTAGCCTTCTCGGACAAGGACGAAAAATCTCGGAGGGCCGGTGTGCAAGCTTCACACGTTAAAGATTCCTTGGTGGTCTAAATTCGATAAGAGTAGGCTTCGGCCGCCACCCGGGAAAAATTCAAAATTTCCTACTGATTAAAAAAAAATAATGTGTGCGCGTTCATATGACCTTATGCTGTTGCCAGTACCGAAAACACTTACCAACCCCCCCCCCCCAAAAAAAAAAAAAAACCCAACTGATATCTGTGGTTTCAAGTTCTCCTTACCTGCCACACATTCATCCTCGTGATGACACATAGCGTTAGCTCTAAACGTGCGGCAGTTCTTCTCGCATCTGTCGGGACATGGGTCGCACGTCGTGGGAAATTTGCATAGACCTTGGATGGAAAAGAGAAAAAAGTTGACATGCGTACACCGGCCACGGTTGTGAACATGGTTTTGTTTATATTCTTGAAGGATGCGCTTTCTGGTAATTCAACAACATTTGAAGATACGCTGTTTTGTTATGGCCGTTTACTCTCTCAAATTAGGTAAACAATGTTGTCATTGGTGTAATGGGGATGCTCTTTGCCATTGCAAGCAAACGATTATGACTTTTATTCCCTTTGAGGGGTGTTTATTTTAAAGAAAATCCCTTTTTTTGTCACCTCCTGGGCTCATAGTAAGAAGTGACTATATCCACTTGGGCTAAGATGCCAAAATCTAGCACAATGGGGGCATTTAAAAGTTGTATCCTGTTTGAAATTTCAATCCAACAATAGTTGGTCATGTAGATAATATTTGTCACGACACGGTGGAATCAGACGCTGTTCATTTGTCCTGCTTTTTTGGTTGGAAAAAATACTCATCAATCACTAACAGAAGTCGAGATATTTGCGATTGAAGGAGGTGGAGGTCACTTGGTTTCAGAATCAAATTAGTGAGAAAATGGCCGCCGAAGTTTGGCGACTTCCAAGGCTTGAGAGTCTTTAGAAACTGCAAATTTACCTTACATGCCTTAAATCAACATATTCAGTAAAATCCGCAGAAAAAGTGTTTTTAAAAGGATCCTGAAGGTGTTGAGTAAAAAGCAAAAAATTCGATTTACAATGCCAAACGGACAGAAAAATGACTGCTTCTTTGATTCATTATTATAATGAGCGCCTGATTTCACCACAATGCCTCACATATCTTTAAGCCTTAAAGCAGTGCTTGTCTACCTTTCTGCATAACCAGAACCTACATTTACCACCTTTAAGAGGCTAAAGTTTCCGTACCACCAATCGACATGTATTTTCCAAGTGGTGCAATGCCCATCACCCACCAAAATGATCAAATCACCCATTAGTGGGCAATATCTCACAGGCTGGCAAGCGCTGCTTTACTGGAACAGGGAAACAAACAACGTACAACGCAAAAAGAGGGGAAAGGGAGGGGGGAGGAAGAAGGTGGGGGGGGGGGGGGGCTCGTATTCTTTACTATTCTTTTGTCAGCTTTTCATCAAAACAGTAACTTACATATTTCGGAACCGGTCTCCGGACTTGTCATCTCCTCTGGTTTGCTTTGTGTGCTTCCAGTCTCGCAGTGACAGATGTCAGCCTGAGCTACAACCCGCTCGCTGCACGCACACTGTGGCTCTCTATCGGAACATACCCTATGACGTAAGCGAACTCCACTGCAGGGGCGAGGGCATGGGCTCCAGTCGGACCACGGAGACAAGCAGCTTGGGGCTTGTTGTTTGGACGAGGAAAAAGTGTTAACTCAGCTGAACGTTTTTACCCTTTAGACAACTGGGGTCATCAAATCACATCAACATGTTTTTATAGGTTGGATAGTTACAATCGCTTTCATATAATTGAATTGTCTGAAAAATGCTGGGCCTTTGTCGTCTTGAGGTCATTTCGAGAAAAATGCCACAACAGCTGAACTTAAGCATGGATAACATTTACTTTGGGGGAAATTATGTATTATTGAACTCTGAATAAAAGCCTTTCACCTATTGTATTGAAATGCCATGTTGTATAGTCTCCCCGTAACACATAGCATCGTTCTAAGAACTCTGCATTAGCAGGAACAGTGAAGGACAGCGATCGATGTACAGACAAGTGGGAAGACATGGAATAACATCAAAAGGCTAAGTCAGGATAGAGAAAGGTGGGAAGTGTTTGTCCGTGGCCTATACTGTGGTGCAGGGTGAGAAAGGCAATGATGATGATGATGAAGGCGAAGAAAAAGCTCACCTTTTACAGTGCTGGTGGGAAGTGACGGGGGTGTTGAAGGCCAAGTCTCACGTGGCAGAGCAGTAGCTGGCAACGACGTCAGGGTTTCGAAAATGTTCGGTCTACCAGTTGTTTTAAACGTTTGTTTTGTGCTGGTTAATGTGTATTTTTCTGATTCATAAATCTCCCAGGAAGGTGTATGTGCTCTTGGAACTGTCCCAGGTGTGCTAAATGTCCCAGGTGTGCTAAATGTCCCAGGTGTACTAACAGTTCCAGGTGTACTGACTGTCCAATATGTACTAGCGGTCTCATGCGTGCTAACCATCAAATGCTTAGTAACTTTTCCAGGGGTACTAGCTGTCTCATATGTAGTAGCTTTTCCAGGGGTACTAGCTGTCTCATATGTAGTAGCTTTTCCAGGGGTACTAGCTGTCTCATATGTAGTAGCTTTTCCAGGGGTACTAGCTGTCTCATATGTAGTAACTTTTCCAGGGGTACTAGCTGTCTCATATGTAGTAGCTTTTTCAGGTGTACTTACTCTCTCAGGAGTACTAGCTGTCCCAGTGGTACTAACCAGCAAACGTTTAGTGACTGGAACGGGTGTACCAACTGTCCAAAATGGACTATCTGTCTCAGGTGTACCAACTGAGAAAGACGTGCTAGCTGTTCTATTGGCACTAATTCTGCTAGGGGTACTAGCTGTCCCTGACGTGCTGGCTGTTTCAAGTGTACTAACAGTTCCAGGTGTACTAACCTTACCACGTGTACTGACTGTATCAGGTGTACTGGCTGTCTCATGTGTACTGAATGCCCCAGGTGTACTCTTCGTCCCAGTTGAAATAGTTTTCAAAGATGTACTGACATCCCAAGATGTACTCGATGCCTCAGGTATACCAACTGTCCAAAGGGTACTAGCTGTTCTACGATTTCTAACTGTCCCAGGTGTACTAAGTGTCCTAGGGTAGCTAACTACCAATCGTTTAGTAACTGCTCCCGGTGTAGCAACTGTGCCAAGTGAACTACCGGTTTCAGCAGGTGTGTTCAATGTTAGGGGTGCAGTGACTGGTCTTGGTGTACTGACTTCCGCGGATGCACTGGCTGGTTCAAGTGTATTAGCTGTGCCAGTTGTTCCAGGTGTAGTAATTGTCCCAGCTGTACTAAATGTCCCAGGTGTACTAAGTTTCCCTGATGTACTAACTATTCCAGATGCACTAGTTGTTCCAGGGGTTAAAACCTTGTCTGGTGTACCGGCTGAGAAAGGGGTACTAGCTGTTCTGTAGGTACTAACTTTTCCAGCTGTACTGACTGTCCGAGGACTACTTTCGATCAAATGTTTAGTACCTGTTTTCTCACCTGTCCCAGGTGTACTGCCCATCAAGGATGTACTCGCGTTTATAAATGTACTGACTACCCCTGATGTGCTACCTGTTACAGGTTCTCTAGATATCCCAGGTGAACTAGCTGTTACAGGTGTGCTAGGTGTCCCAACCGTACTGACTGTCCCAGGTGTACTGCCCGTCAAGGATGTACTAGCTTTTCCAAATGTACTAACTATCCCAGACGTGCTACCTGTTCCAGGTGTTCTTGATATCTCATGGGTACTTATTGTCCAAGGAAAGTTAACCGTCCTAGATGTGGTACGTATTTCCGATGCTCTAACTTCATAAGGTGTGGTAATTGGTAAATGTGTACTAACTGATTCAGATGTACTCAATGGTAAAGAGGAACCAACAATTCCACTTGTACTAGGTTTTACGGTGACTGTCTGAGGTATACTAGTCGTTTCCGTGGTTCTAATTATTAAATGCTTTTTTGCTATATCAGGGGTACTTACTGTCTCTGGTGTACTAGTTGCCCCATGTGTACTAGTTGTCTCATATGTACTAGCTGTTTCATGTGTAATGGGTAAGGTAGCTGTCCCAGGTGTAATAGATGACCCATGAGTACTTCCTGTCCCAAATGTACTGACTATCCGAGGTGAACTAGCTTTCCCAGAAGTGCTACCTGTTTCAGGTGTTCTATCTATTTCAGATGTTCTAAATGGAAGTTGCGTACTGACTGGTCCGGACGTACTAGGTTTCATAGATGCACTGACTGTCTGAGGTGTACCAATTGTCTCCGTGGTACTAATTCTCAAATGCTGTTTAACTGTCCCAGGCATACTTACTGCACCCTGTGTATTAGCTGTTTCAGGAATGCCAACTGTGCCAGGCGGCGCACGGGTTCTCTCAGATGCGTTAGGTGTCCCAGCTGTACTGACTGTCCCAGGTGTACTACTGGTCAATGATGTTCTAGTTTGTCTAAATGTACTAACTATCCTAGATGTACTACCTGTTCCAGGTGTTCTAGATATCTCAGAGATACTTACTGACCAAGGAAAACTGACTGTCCGAGATGTGCTAGCTGTTGCAGGTCTCCTAGCTATGTCAGGTTCACTGGGTGGTAAATTTGCACTAACTGTACCAGGTGAGCTAACTGACCCCAAAGTGCTGCCTTTTTCAGGTGTTCTAGTTTTTTCAGATGTACTCAAAGGTAAGGCTGTACTAACTGTTCCTAATGTACTAGTTTTCATAGAAGTACTCGCTGTCTGAAGTGTACTAGCTGACTCAGTGGTACTAGGTATTAGATGTTTTTTAACTGTCTTAGGCGTACTTACTGGCCCATGTGTACTAGGTGTCACAGCTGTACTGACCAGGTGTACTACTGCACCTGTCCCAGGTGTACTACCAGTAATGGAAGTACTAGGTGTTCCGAATGTACTAACTATTGCAGCGATGCTACTTGTTCCAGGTGTTCTTGGTCTCTCAGGGGTACTTACTGTCCAAGGTAAGCTTTTTGTCTCAGGTGTGTTAGGTGTGCCAGCTGTACCGGCTGTCCAAGGTGTACTACCAGTCTGATATGTACTAGCTTTTCCAAATGTACTAGCTATTTCAGCTGTTCTATATTGCTCAGGGGTACTTTCTGACCAAGAAAAGCCGGCTGTCGATGTTGTACTAGCTGTCCTTTGTGTACCGCTTGTTTGAGGTGTTCTAGCTGTCTCAGATGTACTGGGTTTCGCGGATGAACTGACTGTCTGAGGTGTACTAGATGTCTCGGTGGTATTAATCATCAAATGCTTTGTTACAGCCTTCCGCGTACTGACTGCCCTATGTGTACTTGCTGTTTCAGGTGTACCTACTGTACCAGGTGTACTTTTCGTCTCAGGTGTGTTAGGTGTCCCAGCTGTACTGACTGTCCCAGGTGTACTACTAGTCGAGGATGTACTAGGTATTTCAGAGGTGCTACCTGATAGAGGTGTCCTTTCTATCCCAGGGGTACCTACTGTCCCAGCTGACCTAACTGTTCCAGATGTGCTAGGTGTTCTAGGTATCTCAGATGTACTCAATGGTTGAGGCGTGCTGACTGTTCCAGATGTACTGGTTTTCACAGATGAGCCGGCGGCCTGAGGTGTACTAGCTGTCCCCGTAGTACCAATCTTCAAATGCTGTTTAACTGTCTCAGGCGTAGTGGGTGTTTGAGGTGTACCTACTGTGCCAGATGTACTGTACGTCTCAGGTGTGCTAGGTGTCCCAGTTGTACTGACTGTCCCATGTGTACTACCACTTAAGGATGTACTAGCTTTTCCAAAGTTACTAACTATTCCAGATGTGCTACCTGTTCCGGGTGTTCTAGGTCCCCCAGATGTACTCATGGGTAAAAAATATGTACTCACTGTTCCAAATGTACTAGATCCCAAAGATGACCTTACTGTCTCAGATGCACTTAATGTCTCCGAGGTACTAGTTACCATATGCTTTTTAACTGCCCACTGTGTACTAATTGTCCCAGGAGAGTTGACTATCCCAGGTGTGCTTACAGTTCCAGGTGAGCTTTCTGTCCCAAATGTGCTACCTGTTTCAGGTGTTCTAACTGTCTCAATTGTACTCAGTGGTAGAGGAGTACTAACTGTTCCAGATGTACTCGTACTAGATTTCACAGATGAACGGACTGTCTGAAGTGCACTTGTTTTCTCCGTGGTCCTAAACATCAAGTACTTTTTAACAGTCCCAGGACTACTAAAAGTCCCATGTGTGCTTGCTGTTTCAGGTGTACTTACTGTACCAGGTGTACTTTTCGTCTCAGGTGTGTTAGGTGTCCCAGCTGTACTGACTGTCCCAGATGTACTTCCAGTCAGTGATGTACTAGCTATTTCAGATGTGCTACCTGTTATATTTTTCCTTTGAATCCCAGGGGTGCTTAATGTCACAGGTGACCTAACTGTCCCAGATGTGCTACCTGTTTCAGGTGTTCTAGGTATCTCAGCTGTACTCAATGG